AGTCACCCGTTGGGGGAGATGGGCGGCATACAAGTTTGATAATAAATAAATAAATAAATAAGGAGTCATTTTGTTTATTAAAAATAGGCTGCTCATATCCCTAATTTGAAGTAATGCACATATAGATTTGTATTTATATGGAGGCCAGCTCATTGTACAGTATATAATGACTTCACCTCTTGAACCACCATTTTCTATCTGGTTCTACTTATTCCACCTATAACTGTGTGCCTGAGTCCTGCTAGTGGACCTCAGGAGTCCAGTTAAAAAAGAGGGATGATCCTGGAAGCTGGAAGGCTGTACGCACCAGAGTAGAAGACATGCAGACAGTTTGCTCAGCACCTTGGATAGCAGCCCAGCTCTGACACTGCCAAAGCAAAAATGGAGCATATTATTTCAGCACTGAGTTGTGAATCTTTACAGGGAGGAGGGCCCTGGAGATTAAATCAATTTCTTGATGTGTGTAGAATGGTCATGCCCTGAAAACCAGTTCTCCTTTCTCCTTCCATTTCACTGCCAGAGCCTCAATAAACCCCACCCATCCACCTGTTGACGCACATTTGTGTTTGTGTGTGTGGCTTCAGGTATGATATGGACAGCACTGACAATGGGAGCCCTGGGTCCGACAAGGGAAAAGCCCTGGACAGATCTGTAGAGGACCTCAGCAGAAGCAATTCCTCCCCCACACAGGGTTCCACCAAAACGAGGCACTTGACTGTCAGGTAACCAAATGAAATTCGGGTAGGTTTTCTTAAACAACTTTCCCAGTACTGGGATAAAGCACATGGGACAGGAAGAGAGGCAGTCCCTTTTTATATTCTCCCTACACAACAAACTCTCCTGAAAATAAAATGCAAAAATTATACAAAACCCAGCAAATTAAATCTTAGGGTTTGGCCCATGTTAAAGCCTGTACTATAAAGTATCTTCTGCTATAACATAAACAGTATAGAAATGAGAAGCCATTTCAGTTAATATAAGCCACCAACTCTTCTGCTTTTGGATCATGCCAGAATGAGGCCATATGAAAGAATCACGTGGTGGAGATATACCATGGACAGACAGGCCAATTAGGTATAAGTTGCTTGCTTGTTTGCCTAAGTGGGTATCTGCATTTTCAGCCAGATTTACAAATCTGTAGAGATGAACCTCAGAACCTTCATCTAAAAGTATCAGAAATATTTTGGATTCAAATTAGCTCCCAGTTTAAATGAAACAAGAAGATTAATTGCTTATTAAAATGAGCTTCCTAGGGAGCAGCATGAGGAAGTCTTCCACACAGACTGTTTCCTGTTTTTAGACTTCTGTAGACCAACTTAGTAATACTCAGACTAACAGCCCTGAAGCCTGTCAGATTTCTTAAACTACAAGTTTCAAGAGATTACTCATTTTTCAATTTCTCGTTTTGAAATTAAAAGTCTACTTCTTCAGCAGTGCGAAGAACACTGCATGTATGGTTCTTTCCCCAGAAAACAATATTTAGCAAGGAGCCAGATTATTGTTAGAAAACTTCCAAGCTTTTTCTTACATGCTAGGGCTACTATATTAAGTAAACCAATCTAACATAACAGTAGAGAGTCATTTATAATCTAGCTTCCAAGCTTTTCTCATCTATGACCATCTCAAAAACAGTGCTTTAAAGGCAACTCTGAGAAGTTGGGGGGCTGTTCATGTTAACTGCTAACTTTCCAACAAACGGCAAAATCTGTTTTTCTTTTCCCCTTCTTTCTCTCATTTCTGTCCTAACTCCTTTTCTTTCTCCTTATTCTAACCGCACACTTTTCTTGCATGCTTCCATTGGGAAAATGTCTCATGGTAGGTACCCAGATGTTGTCTTCCTGGATAGGGGGAAAGGGGAAAGTAGTTGATGGGATATAGTATATGTGTAGTTTGGGTTCATCAGCTCCAGAGAGATTCAACACTATGATCCACTGAATCATAGTTTGAAAAGAAAGCCTGCGTGTATGCTCTTTCTCTTTCTCTCTCATTTTTAAGAGGCAAAATCATACATTGAGGCATCAATCAATATGTGGCCCAGCATCTCTTAGGAATGCACCAAAGGGCCCTTCCATGTTTTGTTAAAGTAATTTCCTGTGCAATGATAGAAGAAGCCTTTTTCTCTACTTGAACTTCAGAAGTGAAATGAAAACCAATACACCCTTCCTTCAGGGCTGGAGAGGCTGGGCTTTGGGGTTCAGAGATCAATGGGCTAAATCTATAACTGATTACAGAGTCCCTTAGGCTACTCAGCCCTTCTGTGACATAAGGTCTGAATCCTAAGTATGATGGTGTTGACCTTGAAGAACAACTGGAATTGAGTGACCCAAGGTGGATTCCCATTCTCCTGCAGGCAAAAGATTTCCATCCTTGGGCTAGTTCAGTGCCACACAATTTACAGAAGAAAAAGTCCTGCCCAGGTCACACAGAAAACCTCAAAGAACAAAGTAGTCTTGCATTGAAAAATGGGCAATAATGGGCTCTATTTGCTGGATTTACCCAAAAGCTGCTAAAGGGATATCAAGATTGTTTTTCAAGTGACAGTAAAATGTCACTTGATTCCAAAACTGTCACTTTTCCCCCATGTTTGGGGAGGGGGAGGGACAGGGAGGCGTCCACCTGAAGCATCCTATTTTTCCCTCCTGTCCTGCAGGGTTGCACTCTTCCACCTCCTTCAGGTGTTGCCATTTGAACCAGCAGATCCAAACATTCTTTCAACAAGTCCACCCCAGCATCCCCTCCTCCAGCGCCCCTGGCAGCGAGCAGGACTGTAAGCCCCGGCCACCTGTCAACTCTTACTCACCCCGGTGAGCCTCTCCCAGACTTAACGAGAACCTCCCCCGTGAGCGCAGCCGGAGGGGGTAGGAGTGGCTGGGCAAGGGCATGCTCACCCCTCTTTCGCCTTTGTGTTCATGCATAGGCACTCCAGGCACTGAACGTTGGGAGCCTTGAAAGCCGGGAGAGCTGGAAATCTGCCATTTTAAACATCCCGAATAAGGCAATCCATTCCTAAAAGTTCAGTCACTGGAATTACTTTTGAAAATCTGGGATATTTGCATGCTTAGATTTTCATCGTTTTCATAGTCATCACAAGAGGTTTGGGTTTGTTTGTTTGTTTCGGCTCCAGTTTTTTTGTTGCTGTTGTCCTGCGGTTCAGGGAACTGGATCAGATGTACAGAGGTGGTGGAAAGGGAAGGTTGAGCAATCAAGTGAGCCTGAAGTTGTACAAAATTGATGTAAAGTTTCATTTGGCTTGTCTTTAATTGTGACATTGAGAAACCTTTTGTAAGTTTGAGACCAAAGCCACCAGTTTTTCAGAATCTGAAGAAATGTTACCATATTCAGCACCAGTATCCATACTCTGTATTCTTCTTCAGCCACATCCAGGTGAAAGGCCTTTCATGATTTTTTCCCCTATAATCTGTTAGCCCTATTCTTGAGACTCTTTTCCATGCTTAATCATACGGAAGCAGCAACGCCCTGGAAACTGGACTGGAAGTCTTCATTGGTGACAACGTCCTCTAGGCCAGAATTTCCCAACTTCTTGCCTTCCAGATGTGCTGGGCTTTAACTCCTATAATGTCCAGTCAGCCATAGCTAGAGATTATAGGAATTGAAGTGCAACACAGCTGCAGGGCAACAGATTGAGTAAGACTATTCCTGAATGCTATTTGAACTGGAAACTTAGAAGAAAAGGAAAAATTAAACTGCCAACCTGCTACTTATGTTGACTTCTGCTGCTCCCCCTCAAATCCTTCTCATATGCTATTCTTTATATTTTGGACTGTTGCATGAGATTGACATCCATTGTCATTGAGCTGTTTCTCCCCCTCCCCCCTTTAAATTTATTTCTACCCCAGATTCAATCCGTCACACAGCAGGAAGGCATTACGGAACTCGCGCATCGTCAGCCAGAAAGATGATGTTCATGTCTGCATCATGTGTCTCCGTGCCATTATGAATTATCAGGTAATTGAAGAGGAGGATAAGAAAGGTGAAAGTTTCCATGTGTGTGAAATAGATGGCCTTGGGAAGCACATATATAACATTGGAAAGTGATTTTGAAACTTGCCTAAATTTCAGAAGTGATGTGTGAAGTGACATAGGTACATGGTGTCAGGAAGGGACAAAGAAGAGGGAACCAGGAAATCCTGTACCATGCAAGAAAATCCATACCCAATATCTCCAAGTCGGGCTGGAAAGATTCCCATCTGAAGTGTTGAAGAGCTAGTCTAGATAAACCAATATCTGATTCAGTATTAGGCAGTTTTTAACATGCCATCCCAAATGGCATGAAGACCTATAAATCAGGTGTAGATGTAGGTGCAGTATGGGTGTATGCATCCTCAGATGTATAGTGTCAGAAAAATCCTAATGTTTTAATGTCAGTAGAATTCTAGTTTTTGTTTGCTTGCAATTTTCTGAGATCACCGGACATGGGATACAGAAGAAGGAATCTAGTGCCTCCCAAAATTGTTGGACTCTGTTACCGTAATTAGGAAATGGCCTGCAATCATGGGACTTTAGTCAACAACATATAACAAGCATTTGGTTGTCAACCACAGTAGGCAGATTCAGGAGGGAGAGTTCAGTGGCCCTTAAAGAAAGGACTATTCAGTGGTGCTTGTTGCAAACCAAATGCTAGATTTGATGAACCACTGTTTTAATCAGTGGAGTTTCCTTACGGCACTAGCAGATTTGCACAACCTGCCTGGAATGACTTCCAATAAGTAGGTAGGCATGTATGCCTAAGAAGCCATTTTACATGACATTTTGCACTATTATTTTTGAGAGAAAGATGTTGCCCAGTAGCATTACTTCCATCAGACATGGCTGTGGGAATTGGTAGACAACTGTGAGTTTATGTGTCCCAATAGTTGAGCAGTAATCAATAGTTTGGAGGAGGCTCAAAAATGTCTTAAGAAGTATGGCTTCCTGAATTTTTATATATTATTGTTAAATGAGATCAAACATGTTTTACAGGGTTAACACACACACACACACACACACTTTGGTTAAAATATGAAAAAGATATCTATATCTCAAAAGTAATCCTTCTAACTCTCTGAAAAGTTGGGTTCATAACAACTATCATTTGACCATGAGTGACCAATGATTTGGCTTGCCACAACCAATCCATATGGCCTTTGCTTGCGAAAAAATCCACTCTTTGAACCTCTGTGGAACAAAAGAGCCATGCCTGTGTGTGTTCCCACCTTCAGTATTCGTGCCTGTCTAGATTCACTTGGACTGCTAATTTGGGCTGCTAACTTTCCCTCTCACTTCTCCCTTAGTCTGGATTCAGCCTTGTGATGAACCATCCAGCATGTGTGAATGAGATCACACTCAGTCTCAACAATAAGAATCCCAGGTAGGAATTCTATCCTTTTTTATAGATATGTGTATCGTTCTCAGTCTGAATGGATATGTTAGCCAATTCCTGTCTGGGTCAGTTCCAGAGATGTATTTGTGTCTCATTTCTGCATTAAACACTGCTTTTATTTAAAAAAAAAAGAGCATGAAAATGAATACTTTCTGGAATACATACATTTTTCAATATATCATACTCACTCTGTGTGCACTTTGGCACGTATTTTGAGCTGAGAATGGAAGTGTCACATCCAAAGGACTTCAGTTGGCACAGGCATTTGAGAGGCATGGAGCAGGTTACATCACTTCACAATGCTGATTGCAATACAAACCAGACAAAATCCTCAAGCATCCTGACTTGTCCTCAGTGCTGCTTTGGTGTTTATGGAGTGAGTTAGTGGAACTCAGGCCTGCTTAAATTTTATAGCGTTCTGACTAATAATAACAACTCTCAGAGTTTATACTGGGACAAACAGTACAGTACTGATGATCAGAGACCTAGAGTCTACCTCTGTTCAACAAGTAGATTCACACATTGCACAAAATCATAATGTAGTTTGGCTGTCTTTGCCTTAGTGTGTTATGTAAAACCAACCATTTTGATTTGTAAATAATGGATTAAGTTATATGATTTCAGCCTCATGTGGATTATTCAGAAATATATGGTTAAAAATCATAACTTAAAAATAATCTACAAATTCAAACACTGAATTTGTTTGTTCTAGCTGTCTGTCTGTCTGTCTGTCTGTCTGTCTGTCTACCTGGCTTATATGGCTGCCCATCTTTTATAGCACAACTCTGGGCAGCTCACAACAATAATAACATCCCCTCCCTCAAAATTCCTTGGCATTATAGAGGGCAATAGTTGCCTTCTGAACTAAATGAATTTAGCCACTTGTATCTGGACACATTTCAGTCAACTCACCCTAATGTAAGGTTTGCCCCGTTCGACAGAGAAACTCCCGTGACACGTGT